GCTAGGATCGTGAGTCAATTCTATTCCACGGCCCTCGAACATTTCAATTCACGGGATTCGAAGAAAATAAAGGCTCCTTGTCAATCCTTGCTCAAGGCATTATCCTACTGCTACGGTTTGCTGCACCCACTTGTTTGGGATCAAGCGTTTGTCATTCGCCCTACTCTTGGCTAGCTTCGCAACAAAGCCTTGCTCCGACCCTTTAGGAACAAACAACTCTTCGTCTAGTGTGGCGAAAATCCCTGGGTAAAGTAAGCAGCAGCGCCGAGTTGGCATGCACATGAAAGACTACCCGTGCGGCGTCTTTCATGCCAAGTTCCCAGAATCTGCTTGCGTCAACTTTTACTCACCACCTTTGCCTTCAATCAAATCAAGAACATCAGCGTTGTCGGTGTAAGCCAGCTTCAAGTCGTGAAGCCCTTCCTTCTTGTAATCTGAAATTTCGTTCAAGAAAATATCCTGGTTGAAGTGATGCTGAAGTTTCTCATTGCTAAGGTTAATACAAAGCTGCTCAAAGCCATTATTTTTGAAGCTTTCAAAACCCGCAATGTCCAAAATACCCACAACATTCTTTTCTACCTGCAGAACAGGCAAGATTCACAACCAAAGTACGAAAGCTTTCAGTAGGGCCTTTTTGGATTGTTTGGACCACTAAAAATGTTAAGGGGCTATCTGAACTGTTCGCCGGTTCTTCATCCTCATCTTTTGATAGCAAGTTTTCACGCACTTGGGTTGGTTGCGTCGGCTGCAAGCTTTCGTTCACTCTGGCAATGAGCCACGAAAAAAGGCAGCTGTAAGCCAACTGAGCAAATCCATCTCTCGCTGCAACTGCTTTAGCTGGAGTCAACGCCATTCTAATGACTTCATTCCCAGTTTTCAGTGAGCGCGTTACGAGGATCTCCAGAAGGTTCTGAGCAGTCAAAAGGCACGCAGTCGCTCTTGGAAGCACGCAGAACAAAACTTGCCCATTCTACACCGTAGGCTGCGTAAGGAGCTACAATGTTGCCTTCATGCGAAGCTGATGAGCATTTCTGACAGCCTTACACCTTCAGGAATACCAAGAAGAGCAGCCGCATTGGACAGATTTGCTGCTGTGCTGGGGTCAGCTGTACTACCCTCTTCGCCACCATCCTGGCATGCCAACAACCATATTTCGTTTACTCTTGGTAAGAGTATGGAAAATGTGGTTGTGCGAAGGCAAACCAACAAATTTGATCTGGCTCGATGAAGTAACACTGCTACCACAGGCCCATAGAACACGCGCCAGGGAATGCATTAATGTTACATGAATCAGGCGGACCAGAAACTACAATCCAAACTATTTTCGACAGCGTCTTAACTGAGCAACGTTCCCAGTCAAGGTCAAAGAACTGGGTTTAATCTAACGTACGCTGCGAGGTATGAAGGCAACGTTCCCCAGATGCAGCACAGCTGCAACAACGGAAAAAAGGTCATTTTGCTGTGCAGCCCGGAATCCCAATGTCTGAAGCGCGTGCTTCAGCTCCTCTAAACCTTCAGCGTCTTCGACTGAAAGCGTTTAGCGGCATATCACATGGAACAGCAAAAAAACAGAAAAGCTGTGCCAGTGCGCTGCATGAACAGACAGGACTGTCCAATCAAGAGAATGCCCATGTAACAAGTGAACATGGGAGATCTGCAGAAATTTACAGAAATATATATGGTATAAGGCAAACCTTTCACAAGTAGAGGGAGAGAGCTACGACGTGCGTGTCGAACTGTCTACTATGTAACGCCGTATCCGTGTACATGCTGCTGGTGGACGTACTCGTTTTGCTGGGTAGATAGGGCTGCAAATACTTGAAGATGGCCGGATCCGTGCCTAGCTGATATTGACCCTGAAGTCCCTTTAAACTGTCCTTGAGTCCCTCTAGTATTTGGTAAAACACGTGATAGTTGCGCTCACCCTCGGCATGCCCAACAACACGTGGGACCTCGAGAAGGTAAGATGTTATTCGCGCACCTAATATGTGAAAAGAAACAATGATTTTACAGTGGCCAATGTTCGAATAAAAATAGCATGGATAATATAAGCAATCGTGGGGATGCATTAATGGAGATCACGCCTCACAGTCCCACTGCTAGACTGACCTGTAACTGTGTATTTTTCACTGAATATCACTTCGATCCACTTGCCGAACCGGCTGCTGTTTGGGTTCCGGCTCGTACTGGCGTTGCCAAAGGCTTCCAGAACAGGATTTGCCTCAAGGACCCGTTGCTGGATCGTGCCTGCCTCAGGTTCTTCCCTGCAGCCCGCATCACTTCCCCCCGCAACTGCGAGAAACTGTAAAATTAACTTCGTCGTCTCCGTCTTTCCTGCCCCTGTCGCATGTGAAGCATGCAAAAATTAGCATCTGTCACTTCTACAAGCCGCCCTTCTGTCGAAAATTATAGTGCAAGCTAGGGGGCTAGACATCAGTACACATCGTGGCTTGTTGCTTGATGGGACAAAAGAAGAGCGACAGCTGTAAGGCAACTCTGCATTCTCGGCATTCAATCGCACCAGATTCCCCCGTGATCAACGCTGCTTGCGGCTTCCCCTCTTCGCTCAGGTTCTGCAAGGCCGCCGCAGATACTTGGTATATGTGCGGCTGCAGAGTATACGGGTCGGGACAGAGCATGTACTGAGAAATGGTGGTTTCTCCATAGAGTGGAAGGTACTCGAATGGGTTCAAAGAAAGCACAATGCGCCCAACATTAGTGTAGATCTGCCTTTCCTTATAACGCTGTCGCAAGGTCTGCAACAGGGACGCCTCGGTCACATCTGAAAGGTCGCATATGTTGTCCAGGCCTAAAGACTCGCAAGTGGCATACACGGAGAAAGAGTAAAAGCTTTGCATTACCTGAAGCCTCAAAGACCGGGTTTTGAGCTTGAAAACCGTCGTACAAACGCGTTTACAATGAGGCTCGTCGGACGCGCAACAGGGGTCTTTCTTTTATAGGAAGCACATGCCTTGTGTTCAGATGTGTTACCTTGAAGCCCCTTTGGGTCTACTATTGGTTTAACCCTTGGCCTATCTTCTGCTTTAGGCGTGAAAACAAGATTGTTTGGATCTGTCTCCGAATCAAATGCCTTCCAAAGCTTGTAACTTTGCCCATCGACTTCCACTGCGACGCCCCAAACTTCTGTAGGGTGAGGTACCCAAAATTGCTGAGACATATTTCCTACCGTCACTTCAGAGTCTGATCGGCTTTGGGGTTGGCCTGCAAAGCAGTGCCTGCCCAAAACGTGGCCGCCTGCAAGAGCAATTGATTATATTATCACAAGATGATCAAGCCAGGCATCCAATAAGGCCAGACCTTGCAATGTGGAACTCCAGGAATAGCCTGGAATTTTTATCTCACAAACAGAATTGCCAGGCTTGCAACTCGTTCATTTGTGAGCCGCTTCAGTTCCAAAGACGTCACTGACAGGCCTCTTCGTCGTCCGCAGCCGAGGTAGCTTCGGAGTGTGATTACGGCGCGATTAGGTTTGCTTCCAATTTGTTTCCTAGATGTTCCTTTGGAGAGGGTGGAAGCTCGTAGCCCCACAATATCACTTGATCGCTCCGCGTTGGAGAGCATAGCCGCGCAGGCGCATGTTAAGGCCTAACTAAGGCGTCACCTTTCCATCACCAAACAGAGTACTGACTCTCGGCGAATCACTTTGTAAATATCGCCTCTTCTTTGCAATAAGTGTTAGTAGGGACAGAGACAAGCACACTGGAAAACTACCACAAATAATGGGAAGGTCTTGCATTACACAGCACTGCTTAATATTATGAAGGCCTCAGCGGATTATTTGTCCAAATTCGCCTAATAATTTGAAACAGAAATTAAAAATATGCCAAGGAAAAACTACCAGTTTCCTTCTCTCACAAAGTGGACTTGACCCGCTACTCTCACCGCTGCCCATTGGTCTGGGGCTGAAGGCGGGCCTGCTGTTCACTGTCGGAAATGGCAGATGTTCTGCCAAGTTTTAGCCTCTGCTCTATCAGCATGAATGCTAATACACTTTTTCATAGCTAACGCAATAATATTTGCCCGTGCATGGCTTAGACTGCCCTGCTGCTTTTGAGTCAGTAAGGGGGCACCGGCGCAGGAGGTCACTCGACCAACTTTGCTGGCATGGAGAATTCTTGTCCCATTACGTAGTAGAACAAGACTCTTAATCACTTCCTTGAATCTACAGAAGAGCAATGAAAAAAGATACTTGTTGTTTTTGCATCGCACCAGGTGCCTCTGAATGCCAATTGTTGAGCAAACAGGCTAGCGAAGACCTTCAAAGCCGTGGCCCCGTCTTCCCTTCACCGTAATCTAGTAGCTTGCATGCCTTTGTTTTATAGATCGCTTAGGAGGGCTGCTTAGTGTAGGCGCTAGTGGTCCCCTCGTGGGGAGTTCAACTGGCGACCTGGTCCACTGTGTAAAACGTGTTGCGAGGAACCTACTCTCTGTGCAGGACTATAACGCTAGTCTGCACTGCCTCGCCAAACTCAGGGATCCCCACTTAAATAGGTCAGCGGTAGCCTCAACTGCTACACCAAGAGGCTGCAATATCCTCAGCCAAGCAAGTGACAGTAACGCCCACTGTAGCTAGCTGAAATTAATCATAATAAGCTGTACGCCTACTGCAGCAAAGAGGAATCTACCAGGCGCAAAGCAGCCTTTGACAGGCCGGTCTTTCGTTGCACGGGAAACAGCTGCATTGAACCACACCATAGTTACACACCACAAGGGTAGATACTCTCAAGTGGCACGCAACTAGTGGTAACTTTGCTGTGAGTTCCATCTGTGAAATGCTAATTGAGCGGCCTACAATCTCCGTTTCCAGCAAAGAAGCCGCAAGTTTAATCTTCCCCACTAATCTGCCTCACTTCTACGCTTGAAAATTTCGTCACAATCTAATAATTTTCAAGTCCTACGAGAGCAGTGGTGAAGATATAAATGTAGATGCATGCTACATCTTCCAAACTGGCAGATCTAGGACCCTTCCATCAAGAAGATCACTTTGCAATCTTCCCTGCTGCGCCATCTAGCCAGCCTCCGTTAAGGCGGGAGACGAAATCCGCGCAAGATTCCGAATTGACGCTTGGAAAGGCAGCAAACCTGAAAGGTATCCACAAATAACATGATTCAAGAGTACAGCAAATGGCCAAACTCCTCAGCAAAAACTGAATTAACGGGGTCAACTTCTTGTGGAGGGCATTATTAGCGTTAGAGGCTGGTGCTACTGAGGAAATAGTCCGCTGAAGGGCAACGCTACAGCAGCTGTTGCAGAGTGGAGGTGCTCGTGCACCAGGGACTCACCGCCGGCCAATCTGGTGCGCCAGGATGGCTGCGTCCTTCACCCGTGCCCCAGGGCCCCATTCGCTGCGGACCCGCAGCGCATAACTTGAAAACATTGCCTCTAAAGGAAAATGATATCAGATCTAACTGGTATTTCCATCCCAAATGTCAAAATGAAACGAGCGCGACTAACCTCAGAGATCCTGACGCGCCGACTACTTGGAGCCACGGCGCTACCCGAACCCTAAGCTTGTGGAAGTCAAGGCGCGCATCCGCAAATGAATAGGGCTCCACACTGTCGCCTTCAAGCCCCACAGATGCAGCGGCAGCTGTCGTGGACTGCCCCACAGGTTGCCCAAGCTCTTCCCCCTTTATCGCCTGTGTTGGCGGTGATTCGTTCGTTAATTCACTCAGAGCCGCATGTGTGACTGGCAGATCTCCCCAGTGTCTGTAGCGGAGGCTCTCGAATTGCTTAACAAGATTTAGCAGCTGCTTCGGCTGCGCAACGTCTTGAGAGTTCTGCGTATGCCTTATTGTCACAGGCCATTGAAGCTCGGCTAGCGGTAAGAGACGAGAGCACATAACCAGGCGGTCCGATGCCAAGATGATTCCTTCTCGCAGCAGCAAACGCGTCACTGCTTCCTCTGCTGAAGAGATCAAGAGGCCCAAAGCGAGCAACCCAGCAGCTCTCTCTTCTTGCTGTTCGCCTGAAGGCTTGTGGGGGTGCAGTAGCCGTTGCAGTGGAAGTAGCAGGTGCTGCATGCGGTTCACAAGTGCCTCAATCTGCTGGACGCGTACTGAAGCTTGAACGTGGAGCAGCTCAGCCTTGGTAGCCCAAGCAACGGCGTTTCTGTCAAACCTTTCTGCTGCTGCAAGGGCGGCAGCCTGAAGATGAGGGAAAAGATTCCCCGGTAGCTGCAACTCAGCCACTACCACAGCATCTTGTGCAGCTTGTAGAGACGCCTCAAGCCCTTTGAGTGCCTCTGCAATGTCCTCATCAGCCGCTGCTCTCGCTGCAGCCTCTGATGGAAACGGCGGCCGGGCAGGGCTAGCCTTCTCATCCAGCTGCGACGGGCTGTAGACGCACCCCCTTCCTAGAGAGGACGCGCGCCGCGAGCTATGGGCGCCAAAAGCATGCACAGTAATCCACGAGGCACAAGGCAGCGACGTCAAAAAGTTCGCCATTGTGGACAGGCCTGAAGTTTCGTGCTTTGCATGACTGAGCTGTGTGGTGTCACTGCCGCCTGGAGCTCCACAAGCTGACTCTTGGGGGGCTCCCTTCTCTGCTGCACAGGAAGTAATCAATTTTTCCCCGCATTCGCTAGGCATCAGAATGCGCCCCAAACAATGGGGATGCATCGCACAGATGATGACGTCTGCCGGATAGCGGGCCCCGTCTTCGCAGACAACCTCAGCTGCATTCCCCTCACCGGCTCCAGCGCTAGGCAGTGCCTCAATGCGCACAACTGGCGAGCCCAATACCACAGAAACAGGAGGACCCTGACTAGACGGCGACATAATGCTTTTCTTCAGCGCTTCAACTAGCTGCAAGATCAAACAGCTGGACGACAAAAATGCAATGTGGGATAGACTAACCAGCAGAACGGCACCGAGGCTACTGTTGCTGATACTCCTTCTGCTGCTGCTGCTGCGTACGTAGCTGTCTCTAATATGAGTTTTCTCTTATTTGGTCAAGAAATTACCTGTCGCATGCCTCCGACCGGCGTAAACACGCCGGCCCCTTCTGTGGCCATTCGCTGCACCGCCTCATGGCCTTTCGGAAATGCCTTGCAGCCTTCGACAGGAACTATGCGGCCTCCGCCATCAATAAAGCTACTGTCTCTGCTGTCAATGGTGCTGCTGCTGCAGGGGCTGTTCTCCTTTTTCTGAGCCCCTCTCTTACGGGCCAGACGACGCTCAGCCAGGCAGCCACGCAGCAACGAGCCGTACTGCTGCTGCAGCAGCCATGCTCTTGGGAAATACGCTGCAGCAGACAGCTCCGCCGCATCTCCTGAAGAGCGCAAGACACTGACACTGTGCCAACGAACATAATTAGGTTTCTGACGGTGCACTGCTGAAAAGTGAACTCAGCAAGGAAAGCTGAACTCCGTTCCGTGTCACGGAATCCGAATCGCTTTCTTCTAGCAAAAACAGATAGCATTTCAAGCTGCACTTGCAGCCCTGCATGTGGCTGCTCGCAGTCCTGTACACAGATGGCGCTGCCGTTGCGCATGCAGCTGCATTGCTGGGAACGAGCGCAACTCCTGTGGACTTCAGCCTGATGGGCTGCAGCTGACCTGCATAGCTGCAGGCGCTGAAGGCGGGGAGCAGCACCGCGTTGGAGAAGGCTTTACAGGAGTGCAGCTCAGCAAAGGCAGCGACTGACATGTCTTTTGCTGCTGGACTGTTGGGTCCCCCCGTGGCTTGCCGCCGGCGAACTGCCTCTTTAGTTAAGCAGCTTTCACGAAGGCCAGCGAAAATGGCCATCAGCACATTCAGCCTTGACAGCCCCGGTCTGCTCCGCCCACGCTGCGCTGCTGCTGCTGCTGCTGCTGCTGCTGCTGCTGCTGCTGAAGAGGCTTGCGAAGTGGCATGTTCCCGTCGCCTGAGTCGTAGCAAGGGAGCTGTCCAGCTGCCCCTCTGTCCCAGCCACTTGCTGCTGCTGCTGCTGCTGCTGCTGCTGCGCACCAAGGAGAAGACAGAGGCGGCCTGGCGCCTAGCAACAACCAGCTGAGACGGCAGCAGCAGCTGCTGCAGCAGCCGGAGCACATGGCCGCCGCCGGGGGCCAGCAGGTGAGGCGCGCCGGCTCCAAACTCCATCGGAATTAGAGAAGTGCTGCCAAGATCTGCAGGAGTTTGTCTCGAGTTTCCAACAACAGTGGAGAAATGCTCCTTCTGGTCACTGCCTCTTAGCGCGCCAGGGGCCACAGAGAGGTGCCGCGTGGGCAGGCGATCTTGAAGGACCTGGCGGACCAGAGAGAGAAGTTTCTGCGATTTTTCCGTTTCAAATTCATTTCTTTTTTCTTTATTTCTCTCGCCAGAGGCAGCAGCCCCCTGCTTATCAGCATGGGAAAGCTGCTGCTGCTGCTGCAGCAGCTGCTGCAGCAAGCCTGCATCTGCGTATTCCGTTTGAACGTATTCCCCCCCCAGTTGCTTCTGCGCTTCTATGAGCCTTATGTTCGCGTGCTGCAGCTGCTGCTGCTGCCGCAGGTAAAAGACAGTGGCGAGCCCGCTGAGCCCTCCCCCCACGACGCTGCAGGCAAAGCCCAAGTGCAGATTGGCAATCTTGAAGCCTTTGAGGCTTTTTTGCTTAAATAAAATAACTAAATAAAGATATTTTGAGTCATTTATGCACTATTATCGACTTTATTGTCCTTGCAGTTCAGCAGCGGCCTCCTACTCACCATATTTCGGGCTGCGGGCGTTCCTTCGGCATAGCTGCTTCGGATGTGGCTTTTGCATGTTTATTTCGTTGAGACTACAAGTCCAATTGCTGTTTATTTTGGAGACATTGGGGAGTAAACTTTGAATTCATTCGAGTTTTTCGGCTCTCAGCAGCTCCCGCGGGAAACTGCAGCGCTTCAAGTGTCTGCAGCAAAAGGCAAAATGCCTTTTTTGCAAAAACAGATTCAATTTCCAAAGAAGGATGGACTGTCTACGGACTTGGCTGGAGAGTTCTTCACGGGAAATGAAACAAGAGGGAACACTGCGCGTTGGCGGCTCCGTGGACTCAAAGCGCCAACACACAAAAGAAATAATAAAATAATTCAAATTCACAAAAATTCAAAACTTGAACTTTTCAATTCCCCGCGTACACCGCAGGCGACGCCGTCGAGGCCATCGAGGCCCCACCGCGACACCAGAGGCCACGCCGAACCGACTGCTGCAGATCTGCGCTAAAGCTGCAAAAAAGTGCACAAATTTCAACTTTTCTGTTCTTAAAATGTCAAAATTGATGTTTTTTCGTTCAAATGAGTGCGCCAACTGGCTAATTTGCACTGCACATGCAGCTGTGGGCCACCACTCCATCGCAGGGCCAGCAAGCCCCTGCAACAGGCAGTCAGAAAACACCAAAGACAGCAACAGTTATTCACAATTTGGAGTTTTCTGCGGCTTTCCGATATGAGGAGGGAAGCTACGCAGTGCGATTCGTAGACACTTCGCAGCAGATGCAGGACAGGCTGTCCAGAAGGGTTCCAACATACAGGTACTAAAATGCCTTAAAAAACGGAACTAATTGTAGAATGTGCACAAAGAGTCACCACCTAATACGATGGCGCTAACGAGGAAGGCATTAGAAACCTAATTGATCGACGCAAACAGAAAAAGTTGTTATACCTTCAGCATATGGAAGCTGGAGGCTGTGGTGCCTGGAGTGTACGTACACCTCCGTAATGGTGGCAGAGCGCCGGGCGAATCCTGCTGGACGGGCGTTCCCAAGTGAGAGTTATAGACTCGATAAAAAACAAAAATGTTTCGTTTTTCCGTGTATTTTTGCATTTGGGCAGCTCCCGCAGTTTTTGGAGCTGCGGCGGAGAATGATTTGAAAGTTGCATTTGGCAGTTCGCGCGGCACCGCCGCGCGGCGCCAGCGACTTCCCACTCACCTGCCTGAATCGAACACAAAGTCTTGTAAGATTTCGTGTTAGGTTTTTGAAATAAGTGGAACTTATTTTTTCCTCAGGGTCTCCTGTGCTTGCCTCAGTTAAGGCGCATCTGCACGCGCTTGAACCCGACGGAGGTTTGCAGCTACGGCTTCTTTGCACTAACTGCACGAGTCTATTTTTTGCAAACAACAGAGGGCAGCGAAAGTGAAGAAAAGACTGAAGAAGCAGAACGTAAGACAGCGCCACAGGAATAGGGCCAAGGGAAACTCCCACAGTGCAAGTTTGGAGCTCCAGAAGGCGAAAAAGAAGCCCCTGAAAGCCCCAAAGAAACGGAAACTTCTCTTTCTGAAATGGAAACTGCCGAAGAGAAAGGGGAGGGGCCCAGTGAGGCAGCCGAAGCAAAAGCTGAGCCAGAAGAGGGGGGAGAAGAGGAAGGTTTGCGAAGTTGAAACTTGCTGGTGAACGCTGCATGCATTTTTATTTCAACTGACGGACACAGAGTGCAAGCAAGAGGAAAAGGAGCTTGAAAAGGCAGAAGAGAAGATTGCGGAGGCCCAGGAGGAACTCAACAAGAAAGAAATAAAAGCAGAAGCTGCAGAAGCAGCAGAACTCGAAAAAAGAGCAAATGCAATTGCCCAGGCGGAGGCAGAAGAGGCCGAAGACGAGCAGCTCAACGAAGAGGCATAGAAAAGGCTGCTGCTGCAGCTGCTGCTGCAGCTGCTGCTGCAGCTGCTGCTGCAGCTGCTGCTGCAGCTGCTGCTGCAGCAGCTGCTGCAGCTGCTGCTGCAGCGGCCAATTTTTACGCAGGGCTGGGCAGCTAGTCAAGAAATGAAACGAACAAATATTAACAAGTGCGAATTGCTGGAGATGAAGACCACTTGAAGGCAATCTGCAAGTTCTGGATTAAAGAGAAGTTCCTGTTCAACTTATTCGCCGTTTCTTGTCAAGAAAACGCCGGGGAAGGGGCAATCAAAGGAGCACTTGAAACTGCCACACAGCAATTGTTCACTTTTTTTTGTTTATTTGCTTCATAGAGTTCTCCAGTACTGAATTTTCTGAATTATGAAAAGCCGCTGTGTTGCATTATTTTGCAAAAGCTTTTCTGAATTTCGTTTGCCCGGGGCCGCGCAGCAGAGGCGGAGTTGCAGGGGACCTCAGGGGCTATTTCCTGTTTAAAGTGGCATAAAATATAATTTTAATAATATAAATTAATAATAAATAAATTAGAAATTATAAATTCAGCAGTCTGGGGTGACAGCGGGGGCTCCAGCTGGCGAGTTCAACTCGGTGTTGGTGTTTTTGCCGCATGCAAGACAGTCCAGAGTCCTTTGCGGAATCCGAAAAAGAAGTAAGTGGCAATTCTTGAACATTTATTAATTTAAAAATTCTTTAACATTTATTAATTTGAAAATAAAAATGCAAAAAGATTCTAATTAATGTAATTCCAGGCAAAAAGACAAGAGCAACTCGCGGCCTCTGGTGAGACACTCGCGCGGCGCGGCACTGGCCGACAGCCCAGCGCCAGCTTTCCCTCCCTAGCAGTGGTCTTTGTTGCAAAAAAAACATCCAAATGAATCCCAAAAGTTCTTTTAACTCAATTTTTCTCCTTTTTACGGTGATGAGCGACGGACTTGCCCTTAATGGGGGCCTCGGTCGGTCCTGTTCGCCGTCGCCGGACGCCCCCCGGAACACCGCCGGCAAAGGCCTTTGCATGCACCGCTCTGCAGCCTAAGTCCCTCTGCGCTGCATATTATTTCTTATTTTGGCTTTATTTCGCCTTAGGCCTCTGCGCCACTTCCACTTGTTCATTCCGAGCCTCGGGGGGCCCCCCGGAGGCCCCCGCTAGCCCCGAGACGCCCCCAGTGCCAGTCTTCTCTCCCCTGGCCCACTCTCTGCACAAAAATGCGAAAAATAAGTGGCAGCGAAGATGGGAAGTGCAGACAGAAAGGGGGGGGGCCCCCCAGGGGCCCCTGGTCCAGGGGCCCCGCGGTGTTCAGGGGCCGCTGGCTGCAGTTTCGCCGGGCCTAGTGAACCACTGGTCCACTGCAGGGGGGGGGGCCCCCCTTAGTTCCCCTTCAATTGCGCCAGGGGCCCCTCCCGGAGGTCCAGCGCAGCTGCAGGCCCCCGCAGGCCCCCCCAGTCTCTCTGGCCCCAGCCTGCGCTGCTGCAGTTTGCTGCAGCCCCTCGGCCAGGGGCCCCCCACTCTCTGCTGCGCTGCTGCTGCATGCAAAGGGCCAGAGGGGCCCCCGGCGAAGGGCTTGCAAGAGAGCTTCCGGCGGAGCTTGTGGGCCTTGCTGCGCAGAGCCCCCGCATGCAAGGGCTGGCTGCGGGGGGGGACCAGTGGTCCATCTGCAGGGGAGACCACTGCAGCAGCTCCCCTGCAGAAGGCTGGGGGGCCATTAGCTGAGGGGGCCCCCCAGGGGGCACTGGGGGGCCCCCTGCCGAGCCAGACTGAGGCCCCAGCTGCTTCAGAAAGCAAACCCGGGGAGCCTCTGGGAGCTGCAGCAGCTGCTGCTGCAGCAGCTGCTGCTGCTGCTGCTGCTGCTGCAGTGGAGGCAGAGAGGAGCAGCAGCAAAGCTTCGCTTAATGGGCAGCAAACAAGTGCTGCTGCAGCACTTTCTCAAACGCATGCACAGCACTGCCACTCGCCATCTTCAAATGAAGAAAATAATTCACAAGTCCGCAAAGAAGGCCCCCAAGTCCCAGCTGAAGCTGCTGCTCCTGAAGAAGACTCAGACGCAGCTCCCTTGCCACCAGCAGCAGCAGCAGCAGCAGCAGCAGCAGCAGCAGCAGCTAGAGGGCCCCCTGAGCAGCAAGCGGGTGCAGGAGCTTTGCTGCCCGCTAAGAGTGAAGGGGCAAATGGCCCGCAGGGGCTGCCGCCTGCAGCAGAGGAAAAGGGGGCTGGAGATTTTGCTGCCTCTGGTGCGAAAGCCCCCGTGAGCGGCAGCAGCAGCAGCAGCAGCAGCAGCAGCAGCAGCGGCAGCAGCAGCGAAAGAGAGCGGCTGCTGCAGCTTCAAGGTGACGCTGCTGCTGCTGCAGCAGCCCTGAGGGCAAGCACGAAGCAGCCGAGGCGGGAACTCGCGGCCTCCGCCGCAGAGACGGAGCAAGCTGCTGCAGCGGGAGCTGCTGCTGCACTTGCTGCAGCGGGAACTGCTGCTGCAGCTGCTGCAGCGGGAACTGCTGCTGCAGCTGCTGCAGCTGCTGCTGCTGCTGCACGTCAAGAGGAGCGCCTGCCGGATTTGCAGACAGCGGGTGAGCCCCAACAGCAACTGCTGCTGCACTCTAAAACTTCTGCTGGCCTTTTAGTCCTGAGTTTTCCTTTGAAGTTGGCGAGGCCGTGCAGTGTACGTACACCCGAAGCTTTGCTGCGCTGCTGCTGCTGCGCTGCTGCTGTGCTGCTGCTGTGCTGCAGTCGCCGATCAGTTGCTGCTGACTCTCAAGGGGCCCCCGGCGCAGCAGGCCGTCGCTGTGGGGGCCCTGCAGGCCCTTGTTGCTGCTGAGGGGCCCCTGCGGGCAGCAGCAAAAAAGGCCTTTGTAGTGTTGCTGGCGGGCAGCCCGCCTCCCCCGGACGAGTCCGAGGGCCCCCCAGATAGCAGCAGCAGCAGCAGCAGCAGCAGCAGCGGCAGCAGCAGCAGCAGCAGCAGCAGCAGCGCAGTAGAGCGTCTGATAGACAAGGGGCTTCTAGTGCAGCTTAGCCGCATCCTTAGCAGCCCCAGCCCGAGGCCCTTCTGGCCGCGTTGGCTGCAGCGCGAGGCCGAGCCAAAGAGGACTCAGTTGCTGCTGCTGCTGCGGCTGCAGCTGAATGTCTTGAAGCTTTTGACTCAGCTTTCCGTGTGGGGCCCGCTGCTGCAGCAGCAGCTAGCCAGCCACAAGGGCTTGCTGGCTGCGCTGCACAGAATAAGGGCAGGGCCTTCAGGAGCTCCTGGGCGCTGGGGGGCCCCCGGCGAGCCAGGGGCCCCAACAGACTCTGGGGCCCCTGGGGGTCTTTCCGTGGCTGCAGGGGATAGCAGCAGCAGCAGCAGCAGCAGCAGCAGACAGCGTGGGGCAGCAGCAGCAGAAAGCGGCTTTCAAGTGGCCCCAAGTGCTCCTCCAGGTCTGCCCAGTTCTGGCCTCTCTGCTGCTGCAGCAGAGGCCTCAAGCGCGGCCAACGGAGCGCTGGAGGCGGGAAGCAGAAGCGATGTAGGAGTCCACCTTAAAGGGGGAGCTGTAGCTGCTGCTGCTGCTGCTGCTGCTGCTGCTGCAGAGCAGCTGCATGCAGCAGAGCCAACTTATACTGCGCGCTCCGCCCCTTTAGACCAACCCCAAAACTCACATCTCCATCAAGAAGGCTTGACACTCTCTTCAAAGCCCTCCGACTTGCATGCAGGAGCAGCAGCAGCGTCAGCAGCAGCAGCTGCTGCTGGAGCTGCTGCTGGAGCTGCTGCTGCAGCACAGCGTGGGAGGGCGGCGGCGCCGCAGCTCGGCACAGAGGCCTCTGCAGCAAACCGCCCAAAAGTGCCAGCAGCACTTCAGGCCCGCAGCAGAGCAGCAGCAGCAGCTGCTGCTGCCCGGCTGGGTGCAGCAGACCCAACAGTTCAAGAAAGGGCGCTGAGCGATGTGCAGCTGCTGAGGGCAGCAGCAGAAAAGCTGGCAGCGCAGCTGCTGCACCATCTCGAAGGAGTGCGCAGCAACGCCCCCTTTGCAAAGGAACTGCTGCTGCAGCAGCGCAGCAAAGAGGAAAGAGCTGCTTCCGGGGGGGAAGGGATGGGGGCTGTACAGACAGCGCCGCTGTCGGGGAGAGTTCGGTCATTTCTGCTTTCCTTCAAAAGACGAACTCCTTCGGGAGAGTCGGGGGCGCCCAGGGGCTGCCACTTCAACTCAAAAGAACTCCAAATTCCAAGCTGCTGCTCCCCCGCTGCTGCTGCTGCTGCTGACTTACCCAAATGTGACAGCCACAGAGAATCCGTGGACTGCAGCGGTGTCAGTGGCCCCTCTGCTACTGCGGGAAAAGCCACGGGGGTTTGCGGCGATGCAGGGGCGGCGAGGGAGGCAGCAGGGGAATTCAAATTGAGGAAAAGCAATTCATCTGTGCATGCAGAGCCAGCAAAGAGATGGAACTGGCTGGATGTCGTGCGGCTGTTGACTGCGCCTTTGGAGTGTACGTACACTGCAGCGTTTGGCAGCAGGAGCCTCAGGAATAAGTGCGACACAAAAGAGACAGAGCAGGAAACAAACCGAGGCGTCTTTTGGGTGCCAATTTGCCTGGCGGGCGGTAACGGGGGGGTCTTTGCAGCTGTTGCTGCTGTGCTTGGAGACGCAGTGGCAGCAGCAATGAAGGAGAAGGTCACGGAGCGCCTAAGAGCCCTTTCTGCGCAGCAGCAGGCCGTGCATGCGGAGAGGAGTGGCACTCAGCCGCAGCTCGAGCTGGAGCAGCAGCCGCAGCTGCAGCTTGAATCGCAGCTGCTGCAGCTGCTGCAGGATCTGCACATAGGGTGGCCGGAGCCCGCGGGCGGCGCGGCGCCCAGGTGGGGCGTCTTGGGGATGGCCACAGTTTCGGAGCCGCCAGGGGGTAAGAAGGGGGAGGGAAGCAGCATTTTTGTTTCTGCTGCAGACGAATTGGATGAGACAAACAGCTCTAGCAGCAACTCTCTCTCAGTTGGAGTGACAGTACAAAACAAAAAGCTGCACTTCACACCCCTCTGCCTCTTGACGGGCTCCTCAGCCTTTCAGGCTGCAGTGCAGCCCGCCGCCGTGGGCGCGCTGCTGAAGGCAGCAACCCGCAGCAGCAGCGCGTTCCAGCTGGAGGCTCTTGAGACGCTGTTGTCGCTGCTTCGCAGCGACGATTTGGGGGTACTTGAGAAGCTCTCGCGCGAGCTAAAGAGCAGCAGAGCAGCGGGTGGCACGCCAGGGGCCAGCGAGCTTGATAAGGGGCTTGCAGCGGCTATATTGGCTCCCTACAGCAACAAAAGTAGCTGGTGGGGGGGGTTTGGGAGGGGTGTGGCGAGTGAGGCGACAGATCTGCTAATGCGGGAGAAAAAGCAAATTGCGGCTTTGAATTTGTTGTATGAACTGTGCACGAGGGATGAAAGCCTGCTCAAGGGGCTGCAGCAGTACAGATCACTGCATGCAGCGCTCAAACAAGTTATTGACTTTTGTTCAACTAAGGCCCCCGCAGCTCGCGCCTGCAGAGCAGCTGCAGCAGCAGCGCGCCCCACCTCGAGCTGCGCAGGCGAGTCCGCACTGCGGGTAGCAGCAGAGGTGGAGCTGCTGCAGGTGGCGCAGCTGCTGCCTCCCGGCGAAAGGCACAAGAGGGTCTTGCTGAAACACGCGAGGCCCTTGCGTCTGGCCACTATCCTCTCAGCTGCCTTGGGATGGCAGCCGCGGTGGCAGCCGCGGGTGACGGGGCAGCGTGGGCTGCGGATCCTGGCCTTAGACGGGGGGGGCACTAGGGGCGTTCTCACAGTTGCGCTGCTGAAGGAGATCGCAGCAGCTGTGGGCCGAGAGTTGAGTGATGTGTTCGACATCATCTGTGGCACCTCAACAGGAGGGGTGGTGGCGCTGCTTTTGGGGTTGGAAAAAGCCACAGCCAACGAACTTGAGGCTCTATATGACACTTTAATTCATGAAATATTTGTTAAAGACTCTGCAGCTGTGGCGGGTGCACGGCTTGTCGTGCGCCAGGCCTATTACGACGAGACCCTGTGGGAGTCGCTGCTGCAGAGGGCGTTCGGCGATACACGAATGATTGACTTTGCTGCGGACACAGCAGCCCCCAAGGTCTTTTGCTTGTCGACAAAAGTGTCCACAAGCCCTGCAAAGCTGGTGATCTGGCGAAACTATAACTATCCCCACAGGACAAGGGGCTCAGCCTCTGCGGGCTTTCATTCACCGCTCTTCAGCAACAGGGTGGGGGGGGGCGCTGTGTCGCGGGTGCTGCGGTGGCCGTCTTCGCTCGCCCTTGCCTCCAGCGAGGCTGCGGAGCCCAGTGGGGGAAAATATGAAGGGTCTTGTTGTGTGAGAGTGAAGGATGCGCTGCGAGCAACGACTGCTGCGCCAGGGTTTTTCAGCGGCAAGAAGATTGGGGGTGAGCTGCTGATGGATGGGGCGCTGCTAGCCAACAACCCAGCGGCTGTTGCGATCGCTGAGGCGAAGGCTTTGTATCCGGGGGTGCCTATTGAGGTGGTAGTGAGCATTGGCACGGGTCAGTGCGCCCCAGAGAGATGCGACACACGCACAGGCTGGGATGGTGTTTTCAACCAGCTTGTGAATGCAGCAACAAACACAGAAGCAATTCACGAACTGTTGCAAGATCTGCTACCGCCTACTGCCTACTTCCGTTTCAATCCCGTGATCGACGCCATGCCCATCGACGAGACTTCAAAGGAAAGACTCGAATCACTTAAAGTTGCAGCCAAACGATTTGTTGAAGAAAAGCGGAACAAAGAAGACATACAACGCCTGGCTGACATCCTGCGCTCGGCCAACCTCATTCAAAAGCAGAGCCAGTCCTTCTTGCGCATTGTCTCTCGCCAAACGGCGGCTTGCAAAAAGTGGATTCAAAACGCAGGAGCTCGTTTTATAAGTCACACAATAGGAGACGAAAGGGGCCCCATCAGGGCCTCCGACTCTGCCCTTGTGCGTATTGGAAAGTGTTTTCTGCAGCAGCCTCAAGCAAGCTGCAGCAGCAAGGACAACGGCGATGTCTCGCTACAGTTGCCAGAGAAACCTGATGAGGATGCTGCTGCAGCAGCAGCTGCAACAGCGACAGCAGGCAACTGCAGCGCCGAGGTTGGAACGCCCGGTTCAGCAGCAGGAGCCCCTACCGAGGCTTTGGGGGCTACAGAGGAAGCTGAAGCGCTGCTGAGGTTGGAAGGAGGAATGGGAGGGGCCGGAAGACGTCGCTCCTTCCTTGCTTGGCTAATGAGCTCCCCAAGGACTAAAGCGAGACAAAAGTCAAAGGACAATGCATTTGACATGCTCGAATTGCTCGGGCGCCAGCACCTGTCGTCACGAACAGATGAAGGGTTCGAAACCCTAGTGCCACTCACTGGAGTCCGCCATGTGCTTCACGGGATCTTCCGGCGAATTCAAACGCAGTTGTGATCTTCCACCCTCCAGTGGGGGACATCGTTTAACGGTTTGAGTTTCGAATAACTTGCAAAAAGTGACCTTGCAGGTCCTATGTACCTTTTTTTTCGCCGTGCTACACTTAACTCAGAAGTAGCTCGAGCTCCGCATAGGCGGAGCTCCAACTACTGCCTCTGTAGTGAAATAGACGATCACAAGACTTGAAGCTGTAGCCGTTGCTGCTGCTGCAGCAACAGCTGCTGCTGCTGCTGCTGCTGCTGCGCATACAAGCCTCTCTATATGCATTCTGTCAAGTAAGTATTCTGCAAATGTGCACTCCCGTTCAGAGGGACCTTTCCACTGAGAAGTCGCAGTACTGAGCCAAACGTGAACGCAAGCGGGCTGTGTGCGACGCCGTCGCATTCTTGTATGCATACTTGCATGCACGCAGACTACGCATGCATGCATGCATGCGCACTTGCACGCACTTGTGTTGAAATCTGGGTCTTGGAGGGGCAAAGAGCAGGAAATGATGTCGAAAGCAGGACAGGACTAGTTGGATTCTGGTGCACACATCACTTCCCAGAAGTAGGGGAGCAAAATGCCCTGCGGCGAATGCAATTTGCACTATCTTCGCGCTTCGCTAAATACTAGAGTGAAGAGAACGAACTAATTCTACTGCAGTCGTACAGGGCTGCGGCAAACAGCGCGAAAAGAGTAGAAAGGCCGCATGCAAAATTAAGGCATGTGAGTTTGTCGAAAGGAAAAACCAAATGGTAAAGTGCGCGAAGGCTGTTCGTCTTCGCACGGAAACGCCCGATTCTCGGGCTAGCTGGAGGCGTGCAGGTCTGGAAACCTTATTCAGATTTGCCCCAGCTAAGGACTCAAGGAAAAGGCTGTTTGTGTTCATAATTTGTTCATAATATGCGCGAGCTTCACTTCATTCCTAAGTAATCGGCTGCAATTAAGAGATCGACAGCTATCTCAGGCTCGATTTCAAACTCAAGGGGGGCCCCCCCCTCCTCCCGCCACTGGTATCTACGTTTCAAGTACTCCACTGCTTTGCACAGTATGTTGTATCTGATATTGGGGAGGTTCAGTTCTCTCGTTTTGCTTTCTGTGAAGTTGCCCGCGAGCATGCGTTCCAAGAACTCGCACTCCTTGGCAATATTCAGAGGCACGTCCACCCGCTTCCCCTCGCTGCTTATGAGATGCACCACGTCTTCTGCTGCTGCTGCTGCTGCTGCTGCTGCTGCGGGAGTTTGCTTCCGCGGCGGCGACTTGCCAGAGGCAGGGGAGAGCGGCGCGTCCGAAACGGAAGAAGAGGGTTCTCCCAAGCCCGCAGATGTACAGACAGCGTCTGCAGATACATCGTCTGCACAGTCCTTTCCTTCTTTGCTTTCTGCATTATTCTCTGCCGGCATTTTCGAAGTGCGAAACGCGCAGGAGTGCTCGGGCAGCGCGGTGCAAGGGGCAACGCTGGGGGCCAGCCTTTCGCCTTCGTTGCCGCAGAAGAGTTTATCGCCGCTTCCCTTCGACACTATTGCATGCGGCTATCTCGAAGTGAAGAAGAAGAAGGCTGGTGGGACTCCAGTATGTCAGCGCAAGCAGCCAGCACCAGCACCAGTTAGCCAACGAGTAGCAGTACGCTCTGGATTTCGGCCACTCATGCTGCGATTGCGGATAGTATTAAAGATTCAGAGCCAACAGTTGAAGGGTAGCGCGTAAAACCCTATTTAGTGGCAGGGAGAAATTGTATTCTCTGTGCTAGACATGAAGCGAAGAGTGGCCGAGACCGCTTTGCAATGCGGAGGGTCGATAAGCTGCGGAAAAGTCCAAGGTCCACGCACTAAATGAGCTGACTCAAAATAAAACAGCTATATCAATGTTAAAAAACTAATTTATTTGCAGTGTCAGCGCCTCTTCGTCAAGATACGAGCCTGCAATGCATGCAAGGTTCAGCCTCCATGGCAGCCAGTGAATCATCGACTTAATAGAGTTGCATTATTTTACCGTATGGGAAAACAAAGATACGAGGAATACGGTTTATCTAGTTTACAGGCCGGCTAACTGCTAGGCAACTGTTTGGGGATTCCTCATTCGCTTTGTAGGGCTCTAGCTGGCCTCGATCAGCAGCGTGCAGACTGCACCCGGGCCTCTTTCTCGTTGAAATATGAAAAAGTATATTGTGCGTGTTATTTAAAAGGCGTAGCGACATGGAGGAGGCGGGATTAGTGAAGACTAAGCCTCCACTTTCCGCCTGAACAGCCCGGGCTTGTGCAGGCAAGAGTTGCACAATGAATGCTTTCCGCGTCAGGCACCTTGAACAAGCCCTCCAGCTATACTACGCGCCGCACACCACTGGCCACCTGCCTCTGGACTTGTTCTTGAGACACTATTACAAATGCAATAAGAGTGTCGGCAGCCAAGACAAGAAGTTCATTACGCAGCACATCTACCAGATCGTCAAGTGGAAAGGACTCCTTGACCATGTGACCCCGCCGCCCGCTTCTTGGTCCAGCCGGATTCGCACTTACTTCGTCTCGGACAGGTAATTCGGACTTGGCGTTTTTCTGGATTTGTAATTGATGTTTCTTTCTTCTGAACTCTGAAGACTCAACTTCGTTGCAGAGTCTTCACTGGAAACTTGAATGCTCTCTTCAGATGGAAGCTGCAGACGCAAAATGAGAAGCTGCCGCCTTCAACGCGGACTTCTTTCCCACCCGATTTATTCAATCGCATTCAAAACGCCTACGGCACGGCCAAAGCCATTCATATTTGCAACACGCTGAACGAAGAGGCCCCCACTTACCTGCGGACGAACACTCTGGCCATAACTCGCGACCGCCTTTACAACTACCTTTTGAACAAAGGCGAGTCTTTTCGGAGCAGCAGCGACTCACCACCGCAGCTAGAGAAGCAAAAAGCTGCATGTTGAGTGCTGCATCTTAAATGCATTTTATCAAAATATTTTTTGTACTACATGAGTTTGATCCCACGCTGCTGCTGCTGCTGCTGTTGCTGCTGCTGCGGGGTGCTGCAGGCATAGCAGTAGAAAAAAGCCCCAATTCCCCTTACGCGCTGGTTCTCCCCCAGCGCCAACGTCTTGGCGATTTGCCGGAGTTCCATAGGGGGTATTTCGAGATCCAGGATGAGGCCAGTCAGCTGGCAGCTCTTAAAGTTGAAGTGGGTTTTCACTTCGGAATAAAAATAAGATATTTGTCAAATATATTCCCATGGATTGCCTTAATGCTTGTTTTCTTTCTAGAAGAGGCCTGGGAACTTGGCAAACTAGAACTAGCGCAGTGTGCGTGGCTTCCTCCACTTTGCATGCGGTGACAGTTCCAGTGGAGGGCTTTGTTTGTCTTTTTGCCTCTCAGGTAAAGCCCGGCGACAAAGTTTTGGACTTCTGCGCAGGCAGCGGAGGAAAGAGTTTGGCATTTGGCCCGCAAATGATGAACAAGGGCAAGATCTACTTGCACGACGTGCGGGAACGCATGCTGCAGGAGGCGAAGAAGAGGCTCAAAAGAGCGGGAATTACAAACTACACCATTCTCGAGCCGGGAAACCCCACTTTGTCCAAACTTGTTGGGGCAGTGGACTGGGTGCGGGGGTTGCCGCTGCTGCTGCTGCTGCTGCTGCTGCCGCCAGCTTTCTCTGCAGCATTCCTCTCTTGACGCAGCCCAACATGAAATTTGCAACAGTTTTGCTTTTTTTAATTCCGCTTGCAACAGTTTTGCTTTTTTTAATTCCGCTTTATCTATTCACGCTCTGTGCGGCATTCTGTGCAGGTTGTCTGTGATGTTCCGTGTTCCGGAACGGGCGCGCTGCGGCGAAATCCCGAAATAAAGTGGAAATATAAAGACGAGAAGGTGGGCTGGTGGCGAATGTTTGGAACTCGCACTTAATATGCTTTTTAAATGCATGTTTTGCGCAAATAAGGACACATTTTTTGTTTATAAAGCAGCTTTCGCTCGGGTGACCCGGTGTTCTGCACGTGTGACTTGCACTTGCAGCTCATGGACTTTGTTGCACTGCAACGGCACATCTTCAGCAGCGCCCTTCAATACGCAAAGCCCAAGACAGGGAAAATAGTTTACATCACTTGCAGCATCTTGGACGAGGAAAACGTTCACCAGGTATTTCCTTAGTGATGGTGTTTCCGTAGGCAGCAGCGCGCAGAGCATCGCTTCAGCCAGAAGAAAAACATGAACTTGAGGCGAAATGCATGGCAAACACACTTATTCCCGTCTTTGTCTTTCTTTAATGGCATTTCAGGCTAAGTTTTTCTGTCAACAACATGGCCTGGTGTTGACGGAACCGCCGTTCCACTCACTTCCGACCTCACACGGGATGGATGGCTTTTTCTGTGCAATATTTTCTCGGCCATGATCATCAGCGATTCGCTGAACAAGCATTGAAACCTGCTGCCCAGCAAGTCACTTGGCTTTCGGAAAATATAATTCTTGTCTTTTTAACTGCTGAGCAGCTTCTGCAACTGCTTGCTGCAGCTGTTGTTGCGGCGGCACGAGCTGCTGGGCTTAGCTGCGTGTGCGGCGCCGTCGCTTCACAACTCTGCTGAGCGAAAACTCTTTTGTCTGCTGCACAATTTTTCGTGAAGAGGTCTTAATGTGTGCTTCGTAGCAGCAGCTGCTGCTGCTGCTGCTGCTGCTGCTTTAGCTGCAGCAGAAAGCAGCAAGTGTCTGCATACCGTAGGGAAGCTCAAGGTGGAGCTGCTGCTTCCGTCAGCTGCCAGTGCAAACGCGTACCCACGCTGCTCTGTTTGGAAACTACTTTCTATTTGCAATTTTAAATAAAACTGTCACGAAAATGGTGAAACCAAAACAGACTTCAGAGGACAAGCTCCTCGCGCTGCACAAGCTCGTGCTGGATTCAGATTCTTTCTTCGGGTCGAAGGAAATCGAGAAACTGGCAGAAAAAGCAGGTTACAGAAGCATGCAAGCGAAAGGTCAGCCCTTTTGTCTTTTCAAAATTCAATTGGATTCTAATTTTCCTTTTTTGGTCACGAATGAAATTGAAACTTCCGCGAAGACGCGGTCAAAATGCTGCTCGACGAAAATCTGATTCAAACTGACAAGGTCGCTGCTTCCTCAGTCTTTTGGTATTACCAGTGCCGCCCCACTGCCCGCATCGCGCGCAGTTTTTGCATTTTGAAACAACTAAGAAGTTTATTTATTTCAATAGTCCGTCAGGGCACTTAAGAGCCAAGCTTTCGCTCAGCAAGACGCAGAACTGCGGAGCCTGAGGTGGGCTATTCGTTGCTGCTGCTGCTGCTGCTGCAGCAGCAGTCACGCGCAGCCTTCAGAGAACAAAAGGCGAAGCTGCTGGCCCTGCAGGCCCCAGCAGCAGATCTGGAGTCCCTGGCTTCTGCAGTGAGTTGCAATTCGAGTTCGCCTCCGCAGCGCTGCTGCAGCTGCTGCTGCTGCTGCTGCTGCTGCTCTCAACAGGCTGCAGCAGCAGAGGCTCTCCTCGCCGAAGCAGATCTACTCGAACAGAAACTTCGAGTGCTGCAAGAAGAGACTCGTGCTGCTTCTTGCTGCGACCTGCTGCAGTTCCAGCAGCTGCAGCAGGAGATTTCGTTTGCCCGCGCCGCCACAGACCGCTGGACAGACAACATATTCATCATTCGTGGGCTTTTCAAGATGCAAAGTCTTTTCATTTTATTTATTTTATTTATTTTATTTAATTCAACCATTGATCACTTCAGGCCAGTTCACCAGAAGCCGCCTCGGGGTTCCCGAAGACCAAATCGACCAGCTGCTCGACTTGTACGCTCCGCCAGTCTGTGCTGCTGCTGCTGCTGCTGCTGCTGCTGCTGCTGCTGCTGTTGCTGCTGCTTTTCCCCCGCTGCAATGTTTCGTGCATGCCTCATGCTGTGCGCGACGCAGACCCGATGGCTGGGACAAGACAGGTGCTGCTGCTGCTGCTGCTGCTGCTGCTGCTGCTGCTGCTGCTGCAGACGATTAAGTGCTGCAAAGGGGTCGACAGGTCGACATCTCGCGCCCGATTTTCTGCTGGACACAAATCCCAATTGTTTTAATTCAAGTTATTTTCTTTTAAACTTTTTTCGAACTTTAAATCTTTTTATATTCTGGATTCTGTTCACTGAGGGGATGTGTCAGTACAAAGTGTCGCGGCCAGCGACTTCTTCCCGACTTCGCCGTTTTCTTTTCATTTCTCAACAATGAACATCCAGGAAAACAAATTCCTTTATTTGCTTCGCTGCAAACAGCCCTTTTGCTGCAGCTTTCGCTGCAGCTGCTGTCTCGTGGCTCGAAGCAGCACAGCTGCTGCTGCTGCTGCTGCTGCTGCTGCTGCTGCTGCTGCATCAGTCAACTTTAATTGATGAATATATCTTCCGAAGGAAGAAAAACGAAGCCATGAATCCAACGGCGCCTGCAAACAAAATGCCAAAAGTTCAATTAAGAAGAAAAAGACTTATTTTGGGACTTCAAATTAAATGTTTCAACAAGCAACCAGCTTCGCACTTAGCCAAAAAGCTGCAAATTTCTTTCATGTTTTCTTTCTTGGTTTAATATTCTGGCCTTCTTTAAATCCAGAAAAGTTAAAACTCTGGCTTTTTGAAAAGCTAGAAAAGATGCAAATTTTTAATATACTTTCTTATGGACTTTTTTTAGAGTTAAGACTTTGTCTTTGCGAACAATTGGAAAAGATGCAATTTTTAAATATACTTTTTAGAGTTAAGACTCCGACTCTGTGAAAAATTAGGAAGATGCAAATTTTGAATATACTTTTAAATATACTTTCTTTGCATAAGACTCCGACTCTGTGAAAAATTGGAAAGATGCAAATCCTGAATATACTGTTCAACATACTTCTTTATATCTTGAATGCATACATTGAATACATATATTGAATACATGTATTGAATACATATATTGAATACATATATTGAATACATATATTGAATACATATATTGAATACATATATTGAATATATATATTGAATATATATATTGAATACATACATTGAATACATATATTGAATATATATACATATTGAACATATATATAGAACATATATATTGCATATACATATATTGAATACATACATTGAATATATACATTGAATATATATATATATATATATTGAATATATATATTGAATATATATATATTCAATATATAAATATTCAACTGCAGAGTACCTGTGAGTATGAAGCAGGCGTAGGCCATAATGAAGGAATATCCGAAATAAACTAAAGTGCCGGTCGTGTGCGAAAAACTCAGTCGCGAGTGGAAGTAATAAATGGCATAGAGCATCACGTACACTCCGCTGGTGGCGCTGCAGAGGAAGGAGCGCCACCACCAGTTGTAGTTCTCGCTGCACCGCAGCAGCAGCAGCAGCAGCAGCAGCAGCAGCAGCAGCAGCAGCAGCAGCGGGAGCGGGGGAGGAGTCAAGCGAAGGCGCAGCAGCAACGCGAGAGCTGCTGCTGCGGCGTTTGGGGATTCCGCAAGGACTCTTTTGCTGCTGCAGCTGCTGCAGCTGCTGCAGCTGCTGCAGCTGCTGCAGCTGCTGCAGCAGAACTTCTGAACTACTCACCACACCAGCTGGAAGTAAACAAAAGTGATGGAGATCTCAGCACAAGTGACACACAAAATAATCAAAACCAGAAACAAAAAGCCTGCAGCAAACAACAGCCCGCAGCGCATGCAAGCCACGCCAAACTGCTTTAATTTTTCAAGTTTTTGGTTCATGCCTGCATGCAGTAAGCATGCCAATTGGAAAGGCGAAAGCAAAAGTATAATTTTAACATATAATATAATGGACATCTCATTCTCTGCAGCAGCAGCAGCAGCAGCAGCAGCAGCAGCAGGAGCAGGAGCAGGAGCAGGAGCAGGAGCAGGAGCAGCAGCAGGAGCAGCAGCAGCAGCAGCAGCAGCAGCAAAGCAAAAGCAAACAAAAAATTATGCAAATTGCTGCTTACCAAAGAGATAGTAAAAGCGGTGCTGCCATATGCAAGAAAAAAGAAAGAACAGCTCAGTCAGCATCGCCCTGAAAGCGCAACCAGGTGTACATACACCCCAACGTGCATACACCCCAGTCTACGTACACCCCAGTGTACGTAGCTGCTGCTGCTACTGCTGCTGCTGCTGCTGCTGCAGCTGCAGCTGCTGCAGCTGCTGCTGCAGCTGCAGCTGCTGCTGCTGGTGCACCTGCTGCTGCTGTTGCTGCTGCAGCTGCTGCAGCTGCTGCTGCTGCTGCTGCAGCAGCTGCTGCTGGTGCACCTGCTGCTGCTGCTGCTGCACCTGCTGCTGCTGCTGCTGCTGCTGCTGCTCACCCGAAGGGAAGGGCCCCGCCGACCAAGGAGCAAAGAACAGGGTGCATGAACCAGGGCTGCTGCGGGACTTGTCTTGGGATTTTGTTGATGCGAACGGGAATGGATATTGCGGGCTGTTTGAAGCCGCAGTACGCGCCCTGCAGACAAACACAAGCTGCTGCTGCTGCTGCTGCTGCTGCTGCTGCTGCTGCTGCAGCCAAACGCCCCCTCATCTGGCCATCTCACTTCGAATATTCTTTTCCACATTTTAGTTTTATCTAACACCAATGCATCTATATATATATATGTCTACATATATATATATATGTCTACATATATATATAGATATATATATATATATATATATAGTCAATATAAATATAATGCATATATATATTTCTCTATATATATATATATACACCAATGCATATACATACATATGTCTATATATATATAATATATATATATATATATAATGCATATATATATATACACCAATGCATTTATATGTGCCTATATATATACACCAATGCATATATATATATATATATATATATATGTATATTACATATATATATATTATTATATATAATACCTCTAGAAGTAGCTCATATATAGTACATATACACATATACATATATATATATATGCGTCTAAGTATATAAATAAACATATATCCTAGAGTATATATATAAATGTATAATTATATATACATATATAAGCATATAAATGCACAAATATATACATAATATACATATAAATGTATAATACATATATATAAGTACACAAATAAACAAATATAGAATATATGATATATAAACGTACACTTATATATACATATATAATACATATTATATATAAATGTACACTTATATATAATAAACAAATATATATTACATATAAATGTACACTTATATGTATATAAATAAGTGCATAATAAACAAATATAGATAATATAAATATAATACAAATAAGTGCAGAGAGGAGCGCACGAGGAAGACGAGGGGAATGCTGATGCCGAACCAAAGGGCCAGCAGCAGCAGCAGCCCGGCGAAGCTGACAGCAGCAGAAGACTGCTGCGCCCACAGCAGCAGATTGAGGAAAAAGAAAACGCCAAAGACCACTCCGGGAAACACCAGCGCCGTCCGCACAGTCGTCAGCTTCCAGTTCGCAGACTGCAGCGCAGCAGCAGCAGCAGCAGCGCAGCAGCAGCAGCAGCAGCAGCAGCAGCAGCAGCAGCAGCAGCAGCACTTGGGAGCGGCACTCTGCAGGGCAGCAGGCCGCTGCAGCCGTGGGGTCGCAGGGGAAGCAATTCAAGTTGCTCTTAAAGCTTGCTGCAATTCATCTCAATTAAATGAACTAAGTCCATAAAACGAAATTAAAAAAACTAACACTAAATTAAATAAACTAAATTAAATAAACTAAATTAAATAAACTAAATTAAATAAACTAAACTCCGAGCGGGAGACGAGACCAACCTTGAAGAGTTTGTACATCCTCGCCGAAGTGTACCCAGCGACCGCCCCCATGACTGTCCAGAGGATCAGCATCGTCTGAGTCCACAAGTCGCAGCAGCCCTTTTCAAAAATGAAAAAAGAATTAAAAAGAAAACAAACTGCAGCAGAGTGGCAACTGCAACAAAAGTGCAGAAAGAGAGAGCCTGAGGAGGAGAGGCGCCACCGCACACCGGATTTGAGGTGTACGTACACCTGCGCACCTGGAGCAAACTGCCGCGAAACGCCGGCGAGAAAACGCCCAAACCCGCGAAAATGACGGTGACAAAAGCCATTCCGACGAGCTGCAGGGAAAACAATTGCAAAAGAGTGTTGTTGGGGACAGAAAGCTTTCATTTAGCGCAGCTTTCCGGGAACTTTCCGTGAAGTTCAAGTTGGCGCGCGGCGGCGCGCGGCGGGCTGCGGCGGCGGATCACCTGCATTCCCGACCCCGTGAGAGCCGCGAGAACAGTTGCATGCGCTGGTTTTCGGAAAACATCTCCGTGGAGAAGTTTCCAGCCCTTTTCCTCGGCGTCTTCCTCGTCCGCGAGCAAGTCGTTGTAGCGGCTGATGTCCCGGTGCAGCACCCGCAGCAAGATCATCGCCACCAGCGCAGACAGCAGCAGCAGCACCACCAGCGAATTCACTATTGAAAACCAGTGGATCAGCGGCCGGTCTCGCGCGTTGGCCAGGTAAATGTCCCAGCGTTCGCTCCAGCCAATCGGACTTCGCCGAAAAACCACGTCGTAAGAAAAACTCAAGTACAGCGGGTCCGGCCCGGTTTCGCTGATGTCCGCAGCTTCCCCCTCTTCAGTCTTGAAGCTGAAGGCTGGAAACGAGGAAAACGGAGTCCACGCAGAGTCCTGCTGCTGCTCCTGCTGCTGCTGCTGCTGCTGCTGCTGCTGCTGCTGCTGCTGCTGCTCGCCGTCCTGCAGCCCGCACAGCAAGTTCCCCGCCTCGTCCAGCTCGTGCTGTACAGACACCGGAACTATTTCCAGCCGAACTATTCGGTAGTGCGGAGTCTCGGAGTCCCACGGCAGTTTGAACAGTCTCTGCTCAAACAACAAGCCACAGAACCACTTCACCTTGCCCCCTCCCTCCGCCACAGCCAGCTAGCTAGCTAGCTAGCTAGCTGGAGCAGAGCTAGCTAGCTAGCTGGCTGCAGAGCTGGCTGGCTAGCTAGCTAGCTAGCTAGCTAGTTAGCTAGCTAGCTAGCTGCGTGCTCAGCGAGCCACACCAGTGGCTGCAGACCCAGCTGCCCAGCTAGCCAGCTAGGTAGCTAGCTAGCTAGCTAGCTGGCTAGCTACTAGCTAGCTAGCTACTAGCTAGCTAGCTAGCTAGGTGGGGGCTGAGGCCTACGGCTGGCTTTTTGTCCTCCGCGTCTCCGTGGTAATGGACTATTATTCGGTAATGGTTGTAAATGAAAATGCGGCCCTCGCGCTCGAAGCCCACGGGGACTCCGATGTTGTAACCACTGGTCCCATTGGCGCGGTGGACCAGCTGCAGCGCGTAGAGCTGGTCCACCAGCCTGCGCAGCAGCAGCAGCAGCAGCAGCAGCAGCAGCAGCAGCAGCAGGGGGGCTTTGCGCGGCGGCCGCAGCCCCTGCATGCATGCACTTGCATGCACTTGCATGCACTTGCATGCACTTGCAGCAAATGCGAGAAAAAGATCAAATATTCTTCAAAAGAAGAAAGTGCTGCTCAGTGGTCCACTGGTCACTTTGCTGCTGCTCTTAAAACGGAAACTGACACACACGCAATTCAGGTGTACGTACACCCCAGCTGCACAACACGGGCACACTCAAGAAGCAATCTGCATGCAACTTGCATGCAACTTTGCATGCAACTTTGCATGCAACTTTGCATGCAACTTTGCATGCAGCTTTGCATGCAACTTTGCATGCAACTTTGCATGCAAAGGGGCGGTGGGGTGTACGTACACGTGGAACATGTATTTGTCCCTGACGAGCCGCTGCAGCTGCTGCTTGATCTCTTCAGTGAGAGGCACATCTTTGCAGAGGGTTTTGCAAGAAGAGTTCTTCAAAAAGTAGATCTAAAAGGCAATTAAAGGCAGCAGCAGCAGCAGCAGCAGCAGCAGTAGCAGCAGTAGCAGCAGCAGCAGCAGCAGCAGCAGAATAAGTTGAGAAAAAGAAAAAAAGAAATTCAAAAATCCCGCAAAATTGCGCAAATTTCAACAAGACAAAACGGCCCACCTCGTACAGCGAATTCTGCACGCGATCTGCCATCAGCATTTGGCCCAAATTGTTTTCTTCAATTTCTGTCGTTTGCGGACTGAGAAAGAAATAAACAAAATAAATCAAAAAGGCGAATTCAGAAAAAAATAAACAAAATAAATCAAAAGGCGAAATTCAGAAAGAAATAAACAAAATAAATCAAAAGGCGAAATTCAGAAGTCCATTTGGCCACAAAAATGAACAAAAACGGAAAAAAAAAGTCCCAAAAAAGCCCCAGAAATAAATAATTAAATCCACACACTAAACGCCACGCAAGCAGCAACGCATGCATGCATGCAAAAGAGCAAAGGCAACGAGCAGCGCATGCATGCATGCACGCATGCATGCACCATGCATGCATGCATGCATGCATGCACCATGCATGCATGCATTCATGCATGCATGCATGCATGCATGAGGAAGCAAAGAGTAGCGCACGCTCGCACGCACGCAGCACGCATGCACACAAGCATGCATGCATGCATGCACACATGCATGCACGCACGCATGCATGCACGCATGCATGCACGCATGCACGCATGCATGCATGCATGCATGCATGCATGCATGCATGCATGCATGCATGCATGCATGCGGCACTTCTTACTTGGCGGTCTCACCGGCAGAAAGGCAGGTTGGGGCCAAAAGGGTCGACTGGCAAAATGCCCTGGGCGGATTGCAGCGAAGAGATTTGCACGGCCACGCGCTGGCCCGCGGAGTAGTCCTGAGTCCGCAGAAAAGGACTTAGCCGAATTTTCGGGTTTTATTTGTTTTATTGTTATTGTTATTATTGTTATTATTATTATTGTTATTGTTATTATTATTGTTATTATTATTGTTATTATTGTTATTATTGTTATTATTGTTATTATTATTGTTATTGCTATTGTTATTATTATTGTTGTTATTATTAGTATTATTGTTATTATTGTTATTATTATTGTCATTATTATTATTATTATTATTGTTGTTATTACTATTATTATTGTTTTTATTTAAGGGTGGACTCTTCGTAGTGTGGACTCAGGCGCATTTCAAAGAGCTCGCGCCAAAAGGACTTAGTCGCATTTCCGCGTTTGCAGCTTTTCAAGTTCGTTGGGACTTAGGCTTATTTCGCTTGAGTGGTAGTAAACACTCATAATGCATGCAGCGAAAAGGACTTAGCCATATTTCGATGTTTGAACTCAGTGTGTTTTGAACTTAGTGGCATTCCCGTGAGGAGTCGTGCAAACGGCACACAGCACAGCAAAAAGGTCTTCGCCATATTTCACAACTTGCGATGTTTTGCACTTAGCCAAATTTCCCTTTTAGTGAAATTTCGCCCTTAGTGATATTCCTCTCTCAGTGATATTTCGGTCGTAGTGTTCAAAGCTGCTCTAGGGTCTCTGGCCGCGCCACTCCGGGGCCCCCTGGGGGCCCCCAGGGCCACACGAGAGGCCCCTGGGAGGCCCCTGGGGGGCCCCTGAGGGGCCCCTGGGGGCTGAGGCCGCGGGCCATTCTGTGGGCCAGCTGGCTGGGGGGCCCCTGGGGAGTGAGGTGTTACCGTAGGGCCCATTCCAGGGACTAGAGAGGCAGCTGGGGAGGCGCCGAAGTTAAAAAATGGCCCCAAGAGGAGCAGCAGGGAAAGCCAGGGCGAGTTTCGCGGACTGGCCGCCATCTTTGCCCGCGAAGTTGCAGCAAAAGTGGAAAAAAGGGAAAAAGATTTGCCCCTCGAAGCGAAGCATTCCACTTGGGGACAAAGTGAAGCTTCAAAAGCAAATTTAACTTCCAAAAGACACTTTGTGGCCTGCGCAGCTGTCTGTACACTCCAACGCAGCCGCGCATGCAGTCCGTCGTCGGTGCCGGTCGGCCGCGCGACAGCGGAGAATTCTTTTATATTTTTCTTCAGTTTTAATTCTTTTTTCTTTTTTTTGTGTTTATAATTCTGCAAAGTTTGCAAAAGTGTTCGCGGCTTTCGATTTGGAGCCCCCTGCAGCTCCCCCGGCTGCTCCGTTCAAGTTTCCGATCGTCTCAGTCGCTGGCGTCACTCAGCAGCTGCTGACCGCCGCTTTCCTTCGCATTTGAATTGTTTTTACTTTTAAATTAATTTATAATTCTTTATTTTCACTTTTATTTTCAAAATCATTCAAAATTAACTCCCAACTGCAGCTTCCGCCCGCGGGTCCTTCCCGCCGCCAACCACCTCAGGTGGGGGGGGCCTCGCGCGAAGTGTCTCAGAGTTAAAATAAAATCCTGCATCTAAACTGCATTAAAAGTGCATTTAAAATGCATTTAAAACGCATTTAAAATGCATTTAAAATGCATTTAAAGTGAATCTAAAGTGTGTTTAAAATGAACCTAAAGTGTGTTTAAAATGAACCCAAAGTGTACCCAAAGTGCATCCCAAGTGTACGTACAGTGCATTCCAAGTGCACAAATCTGAAGTGTGTCTGGAGTGTATCTACAGCTTGTCTAAAGGGCATCCAGAGTGCATCCAAAGCATCTTTCTAAATTGTATTTAAAAGGCTTTTAAAAGCATTTAAAGCAGATCTGTCTGCAGCGCATTTGAAGTGTCGAAAGGTGCATTGGAAGCGCATTTGGAGTGTATGTACAGTGCGTCGTGAAGTCACAACTTGAAACACCTTCGTCTGGCCGAAGTTTGCGAAAGTGCAGAACAAAAGAAATGACTTCCACTGGAGGTGACAGTTTTTCGGAGTTGCGGCCCCGTGGGGCCGCCCCGCTCGGGTGTACGTACACCGCAGCACTTGAAACGCACCGGCTCTGCTGCGCCCAACTCAGCCAGCAAAAGACCGGCACTTCACTTCGCACTTCAGTCAACACAAAGTTCCACACAACTGCCAATTCCCCAATCCATGCATGCATTTGCATGCATGCATGCATTTGCATGCATGCAAATGCATGCATGCATGCGAATGCAGCATGCGCGCACGCATGCGAACCCTGCATGCATGCATGCAAATGCATGCACGCATGCATGCACGCATGCATGCAAATGCATGCATGCATGCATGCATGCATGCAAATGCATGCATGCAGGGGGATGTATTGGCGTTCAAATGGGCAAGGCAATGTCCTCCTGGCCGGCCAGTTTGGCCTTGACGTAATAATACAAAAAGTCCAACAAAATTAAAATGTTAAGAGCCTCAGTGGCGAGGTGAATGCCGCGGCCCGTGGGCTCGCTGCGGTGGAACAGCGGGAACGAAAGCCTGCGAAGACAAACGAAAACAAATTAAATTAAATTAAAATAATAATAATATAAATAAATAAATAAATAAATAAATAAATAAGTAAAATAAAGCGGAATGCAGAAAGGGAGCTTGGAAGCGACTCCAAATGGAACGCGCGCACGCAAGTGCACTGTACGTACACCGCGTCTGCACTTTTGCATGCAGCCGGAGCTGCATGCAAAAGCTGAAAGCGCTTTAAAAAGAAAAAGAAAAGAAAAAGCGAATAAATAAAAGGAAAAGAAAAGGAAATAAAAGGGAGAGAAAAGGAAATAAAAGGGAAAGAAAAGAAAAGAAACAAGTGCGGAGGGCGTCTGGGGTGTATGTACACCGCACCAGTAGAGGAAGGCGAGGACTCTGGCGCAGAAAAGCATTGCGACAAAAGTGCCGAGCAAATGGGAAACTTTGCGGGGCCTTTTGGAGTAGAACATTTGGAGTTGAGGGAGCAGCGCGAGGGCCAAGACACTGTCATTGAAGCATTCCCAGAGGGACAGCAGCAGGCCGAGAGCCACCCTGCTGCTGCTGCTGCTGCTGCTGCTGCTGCTGCGGGCCAGCGCCGCGTGGGGCGAGCGGCGCAGCAAAAACATGGAAAAAGACAGCAAAAAAGACAGCAAGTAGAGGCAGCAAAGGTGGCCAGCAGCGCAGCAGCAGCGCAGCCGCAGCAGCCGCAAATACTTGAGGCCGAAGCTGTCGCGCTGCTGCTCGTAAGAAGTCCTGAAGTTGCGGAAAAGATGCACGAAGGCCCAAATGGAGACAGCCGCAGAAGTGCAGTCCACCAGAAAGAAGTCCAGGTGAAAGGGCTTGCCGTGGAAGGCCAGAAGACTCAAAATCAACAACACATTACTGACTTCAACTACCACAAGAGCAAACAAAGTTTGAAATGATACTCCGCAGGCACTGCGCTCCCGCTGCACCTTCTGCAGCACCGCCCCGTACGCCAACAGCCAAAAGACGGCTGTCGAGTAGTTCAGCGCGTCGTGCAGCACTGCCCACCGCTGCAGCGGCGGACCCATCTTCCCCCGCTGCTGCTGCTGCTGCTGCTGCTGCTGCTGCTGCTGCTGGGGGGGGGTTGCTTTGCAAGAGAGGGCCTGCTGCTGCTGCTGCTGCTGCTGCTGCTGGTGCTGGTGGAGGGGGGGGGCTGCTGCGGCGAGCCAAGGGTTGCGCGGTGTACAGACACCCCAGTGCGCGAGGCCGCCCCGGCGCCGCCGACTCTGCGCTCAGCCCGCGACGGCGCTTCGGCGCGAACTGCCGCGCAGTTGAAGTCCGAAAGTTTCAAAAAGCAAAAAGGAAAAAGACATGCAGCAGCAGCGGCGAAAAGAGCCGCGGAAAAGCCCCTGCGTGGCCGCGGCTGTGCGCAGCTCCAGCGGCGCCACCCAGTCAGCCGTCGCCGCCGCCCCTTCGCGCCTCCCAAGCCCGCATGCACCCAAAAAGGCAAAAGCAAATCTTATTTGAAGGAAATTACCGAAGGACAATGAAGTTTCGGAGCAGCAGCGCCCGCGCGCCGCGCAAGCTGTGCAAATTCACGAACACGCGGCAGATCGCCGGGCTGCAGCTGCCGGCAGCGAGCTCCACCCCGATCAGCCCGATTCGGCCCCGCCGACTTCAATTTCAAGTCCAAAATTCCAATTAAAACATTTAATTTATTCCATTTAGCGAGTTTGTTGCGGAGATCGGCGAAAGCCGCCCGCGAACCCGCCCCCAGACCCCCGCGGAAGAGCCGCGGCGCGCCGCTGCAGCGGAAAGCACTTTCTTCGCAGCCGCTGCAACTTGTGCATAATCTCTTTTTAAATTCCTCTTCGAAATGCAATTATAAATATCTTTGCTGCCTAGCAGATCTTATTGTCTTCGCTTGCGGGGCTTGGCTTGCATGCACGCGAGTTCGCTCTTACGCAGTTCAAGTTTCTGGCCTAGCTGCTGCGCTGCAGCACACCCTGCTGCTGCCTGCTGCAGCAAACTCAACTCCAAGGGCTGCAGACTTTGTCTTATTCTGCACTTTCCCCCTCATTTTGCTGCTAATAAATCGCTGAAGAACTCAAATAGTTTGACTCCGTTCATAAAGATGAAATTCAGGACTTGAAAGTCCTGAATTTCATCTTTTGCATGCACTTTCTCTGCAACTTGGCGGGCTTTCGGGTGCCTAGATCTGCGAAAAAGCAGCTTTGTTGAGTCTTTTATTCCGTTAAATGTTTTATTCTGTTGTTAAATGTTTTATTCTTTTGTTAAATCTTTTATTCTTTTGTTAAATCTTTTTTTCTGCTGCCAAATGGCCAATCATTTGTTCTGAACTGCTTCAGTGAATGGGAGTTGAACAGACAAAAAGGTGAATGGCCAGAAAGCCAGGGTGAAAGATTCATCTTTATTTGTTTCATCAAATTTAGTTCAAATAAATATTAAAGTAATTATGCAATTTGAAACATAAACTCAAATAAATAATAAAGTAATTCTGCAACTTTGCAAGAACTCTCGCTGTTCAAATCCAAAGCTTTATGAACTCAGTTGAAAGACATCCTATTTAGCGGCTGAGACATTTCGGGTTTATATTTAGTGGTTGAAATATTTGAATTCATTATTTACTTTTATTTGTTGAAATATTTGAATTCACTATTTGCTTTCAAGTTTCCTGCAGAAGGCATGCAGCACTTGCAAACAACTTGAAATACCTTTTTCCAAAATATATTCTTTTGAACGGAATTGTTTTTTCAACAAAAAACTCCAAGTTGGACTCCCATTTCTTATTTTTAAACACTTTTATTCTTCTCGAGCACTTCCAGTTATTCAACACCACCTTTTCCTGTTCTCGTGGCAAACTGCAACACCGACAGCTAATAGACTATTTTCAAAAAGAAGAAAAGCCAAGAAAGCCTCTTATAAATATAAAACATTCTTAATTCCTTGAACAAGCAGCTACTGAGGAAACAGAGAAATTAATTGTTATGTTGAAAAGTTCTGAGTGCATGCAGTCTTTGGCTAGATCTGTAAAGTATGGCGAAGCCCCGTGTTCCCCCGTGGCTGTGCTTTATATATATAGCCTTGCTAAGTCTATATTAGAGTAAGGAAATACTTCTTATTGTGGCCATGGCGGTCTTTCTAGCTTATAAACTCGTTCACTTTTTCCCAACTTTTCCCCATATTTGGTGATTCAGGGCTCCTTAGAACTCTAAAATGAATACCATTTAGCACTTCAATCCAAATAAAACAGAAAAACAAAAGAAAAACCAATTCTTATTGCTGTAACGTTCGGAATGGACCTGCTGGGCCATCCTGGATCCCAGCTTGTTGTTGCGGCTAGGCGGAATCGATAGAATCATTGCAGATCTTGCAAAGTCCTTACAGGCCAACAAAAATATGAGAAACTTGAACAAGTTTGAATGAAATTAGCAGCAAAAGTGCTGCAGAAATTCGAGTTTCTCTCTGCAGGGAGGGTGTGTTCGGGTTGCACGAAAACCCGAAGTTGGGCCGAGAGATATTGCTGCGAAGCCGCATCTTTTCCCTGAGAACTATTCGTTTTATTTATAGTTTTAATTGTTTTTTAACTTGAAAAAATGCAAGAATCGGAGCGGAGTGGGGCTTTGTTGAAGGGTTTCTGGGGCTGCATGCAGGCGATCTTCGTGGGCATGCGATGGGGGGAGGCGCGGGCTGGCGCTGCTGATCTGCCGCGCGAGTTGGAAAACATGCAGAAGAAAAAACTGCCGGAGGCGCGCATTTTCGAAAAGGAAAAGAAGTGAAGACGAAGCGGAGAAGATGGCGCTCTTCAGGAGGTTCATCGAGCCTGGCCGGCTGTGCGTTGTGCAGTACGGGCCCGACGAGGGCAAGGTCCGCAGCGCAAGTCCTTCGTCTTACCCCTTAATATTCCTTTTAAATTAATTCTTTTCATTTTCCAACACAGTTTCGCCCAGCTTTCGCCTTTCTGGGCGCGCTGCAGCCTTTCTCCCGCGCGCGAGTGTGGGGGCTGGCGCGGGCTGGCGGCGCTGCGCGCCTGCCTTTTTGCCCGCAATTTGCGCATTTTTCCGTGAATTTAAAATTAAATTTAGTGGAGTTTTGAAGGCTGCAGTCTGTTTTCGCTTATGGGAACATCTCCGCAGCAGTTTGGCGCGTTGCTGCGCTGTGGACTCGGCGGCAGCCACTTGAACTGCACGAAAGTGGAATATTTTCGCCTCCAGCTCTGCAGCCGGGGCCTTCGTGGCTGTGTGCGTCGGAATTGCAACACTTTTCTTATTTTTGTATGTTTTAAGTTTCGCTTTTGCGTTTTTCTGCAGCTCTGCATCGTGGTGGACATCATCGACGGCAACAGAATCCTCGTGGACGGCGCCGGCGTCACTGGGTGAGTTTGGCCGCAGCCCTTCAGCAAGTGCAGAACTGGGCCAAGATTTGAACTGCGAAGTGCAGGTTTTAGCCGTTTGTCTTCGGATTTTCGCGGGAATTGTGCAGAAACTTTCGCTTTTTTCGGGATTCCAGCTTTTAGCGGCTTTTAAAACTTGAATAAAGGCGGAAAAACGAGAAAAAAGCACATTTTTGGGTTCAATTTTGGGTTTTTGGCGGGTTGCGCGCAGAGTGCAGCGGCAGTCGATTCCCATTCGGCGGGTGGCGCTGACGGACCTGCGGCTGAAGATCCCGCACGGAGTGCGCAGCGTGACTTTGCGCAAAGCGCTGGAAAAAGAAAATATAATTGAAAAGTTCAACGAGACTTCTTGGGGAAGAAAAAGACTGGCGAAGCAGCGGCGGGCTGCGCTGACGGACTTCGAGCGCTTCAAGTTGATGGTGGCGCGCAAGCAGCGCGCGCAGGCCGTGCGCAGCAAGCTGGGCAAGCGCATGCGAAAAGTGGAAAGTTGAATTTAATTCCACTTTCGCTGCACAAAACCCCCAGAATGTCGAACTCAAACCAAAAAACAATCCAAGTTGAAGTTCTGTTGAATTTAATTCCATTTTTGCTGCAGAAAGCTCTCAGAATTAGTCAAATTCAATTCAAAAAACAATCCAAGTTGAAGTTATGTTGAATTTAATTCCACTTCTGCTGCAGAAAGCTCTCAGAATTAGTCAAATTCAATTCAAAAAACAATCCAAGTTGAAGTTATGTTGAATTTAATTCCACTTCA